GCCTTCTCCCAAGTGCATCCCAAACGTGCTCTATTGGAATATGGTCAGGGGACGTCGATGGCCAGTCCATGACGTTGATTCCAGCGTTTTGAAGGAATTTTTAGTGTCAACATCGCAGTATGCGGCCGAGCATTATCATGCTGGTACTGTAGACCTGGGCCATGAGCCGCCATGAAAGGAACGAGTTCAGGGGTGAGCACCTGGTCGCGGTAAGCAGCAGCTGTGAGGTTTCCACGGATGACCAGAAGTTGGGAACGGTTGTTCCCACAGAAAGCACCCCATACCATGCAACTTCCGCACCCGAATCTGTCGACTTCCTGTACACAAAATTGGGCATACCGTTTACGACGTCGTCTCCAGACTTTATGCCTGCCGTCCGCGAATCTGAGGGTAACCCTGGATTCATCGCTAAAGACGACTCGATTCCAGTCTCTCTGGGTCCATCGGAGGTGACGTTGGGCCCACAGCAGACGTTGACGTTGGGCTCACAGCAGACGTTGACGATGATGAAACGGCGTCAAACCTGGCCCACGATATGGACGTCGAGAATGGAGATTGGCAGCCCGCAACCGATTTCGAATGGTCTGTGAGGACAGTCGACCTCTAAACATCTCAGCCCTGATTCGTGTAGCCGGAAGAAATCTGTCACGTAGGTGACGTAGGACGATTTGACGGTCTTCTGCTCGTGACGTCACATGTGGACGACCCGACCTTGGGCGATTAGAAGTGGTGCCAGTTTGTTGTAGACGACCTCGCAAGTCATACACAGTACAATGGCTGCATCCCATTGCTCTTGCGACGTCAATAACTGATCTTCCCGCTTGCAACATGCCAACAGCACGTTCACGTTGCACATTTGACAATCGTGGCATTTCAAGTACCGTTAGAACTGTGGTTTAAAAGTGTTTTTTCAATTCTTGAGGCCATTGCAAACACGTGCATATGAAGAAACTTCGATGCGAAGATCACGTGATCGACTGCACGTGCAAAATCTGATTTGGCACTAACGTTATTTGCACGACGAATGGATGGGTTTGAGTGGTTTTGCTAACGTTTTTCGAGAGTCGAAAGATAAGGATCCCATTTCGGATACATAGATGTATCATCAGAAAAAAAAATTCATTATTTTCCAAATTACATTTTGTGAAGTTTCTTTTTTGACTCAGTATATATGACTATATGAATGTGTCGTGAATATATTGCTGTGATTATGTTGCTGTAAATATTTCATGTACATGTTTATAATGATATTTGGAATATAATCTGGAGGAAATAAAGAGATTCATTCATTCATTCCTAGCTATTGCTTCAACGTTTCATCAGGCAAACCCTGATATTGCTTCTTCTTTACGTCAGGCACGTCTAGATATTGCTTCCTCGTTACATCAGGAACACCCTGTCATTGGTATCCACATTACGTCAAGCACGCATAGCGATTGCTTCCACGCTATGTCATGCACGCTCAGCTACTGCTTCCACATTACGTCAGGCACACCCTGCTACTGCTTCCAAGTTACGTCCGGCACGCTTAGCTAATGCTTCCACCTTATGTCAAGCACGTCCTGTATTGCCTTCACGTTACGTCAGGCACACCCTGCTATTGCTTCCACGTTACTTCATGCACGCTTAGCTATTGGTTCCACGTTACGTCATGCTAGCCCTGATATTGCTTTCACGTTACGTCAGGCAAGCCCTGATATTGCTTCTACATTACGTCAGGCACGCCCTGCTATTGCTTTCACGTTACCTCAGGCCCGCTTATTTATTGCTTCCACGTTATGTGATGCACGCTTAGCTATTGCTTCCAACTTATGTCAGGCACGCGCTATATTACCTTCACGTTACATCAGGCACACCCTGTTATTGCTTCCACGATATGTCGGGCATGCTTAGTTATTGCTTCAAGCACGCACGTTACGTCAGGCACACTGCTATTGCTTTCACGTTACTTCATGCACGCCTAGCTATTCCTTCCAGGTAATGTAATTCACGCTTAGCTATTGCTTCCACATTTCATCAGGAACGCCCAGCTATTCCTTCCACTTTACGTCGGGCATGCTTAGCTATTGCTTCAACCTCCCGTCAAGCACGCCATGCTATTGCCTTCACGTTACGTCAGGCACACCCTCATATTGCTTCCACGTTACGTCATGCACGCCTAGCTATTGCTTCCACGTTACGTCAGGCAAGCCCTGATATTGTTTCTATGTTACGTCAGATATGCCCAGCTATTGCTTCCACGTTACGCCAGGCACGCTTCGCATATTCCTTCCATGTTACATCAGGCACACCCTGCTATTGCTTCCACGTTAAGTCGGGCATGCTTAGCTTTTGCTTCAACCTTACGTCAAGCATGCCCTGCTATTGCTTTCACGTTATGTCAGGCACGCTTAGTTAATGCTTCCACGTTACCTCAGGCATGCTCTGCTATTGCTTCCACGGTACGTCGGGTACGTTTTGCTATTGCTTCCATGTTACATCAGGCACACCCGCCTACTGCTTCCACGTTACGTCAGGCACGCTTCGCTATTCCTTCCATGTTACATCAGGCACACCCTGCTATTGCTTCCACGTTAAGTCGGGCATGCTTAGCTTTTGCTTCAACCTTACGTCAAGCACACCATGATATTTCTTTCACGTTACGTGAGGCACACCCTGCTATTGCTTTCACGTTATTTCATGCACGCCCTGCTACTGCTTCCACGTTACATCAGGCAAGCCCTGATGTTGCTTCCATGCTATGTCATGCATGCTTAGCTATTGTTTCCACATTACGTCATGCAAACCTTGCTCTTGCTTCCACGTTACATCAGGCAAGCCCTGATGATGCTTCTACGTTACGTCAGGCACGCTTAGTTATTGCTTCCTCGTTACGTCAGGCACACCCTGCCATTGCTATCCACGTTACATGAGGCACGAATAGCGATTGTTTCCACGCTATGTCATGCACGCTTAGCTATTGTTTCCACATTACGTAATGCACACCCTGCTACTGCTTTCACGTTATGTCGGGCACGCTTGGCTGTTGCTTCCACCTTATGTCAAGTACGCTCTGTATTGCCTTCACGTTACGTCAGGCACACCCTGCAATGTCTTCCACGTTACTTCATGCATGCTTAGGTATTGCTTCCACGTTACGTCAGGCAAGCCCTGATATTGATTTCACGTTACGTCAGGCAAGCCCTGATATTGCTTCTACGTTATGTCAGGCACGCCCTGCTATTGCTTTCACGTTACGTCAGGCACGTTTGGTTATTGCTTCCACGTTTTGTCATGCACGCCCTGTCATTGCTATCGACGTTACATCAGGCACACCTAGCTATTGCTTCCACGTTACGTGGAGCACGCTTCGCTTTTGCTTCCATGTTACATCAGGCACACTCTGCTATTGCTTCCACGTTACGTCATGCACATCCAGTTATTGCTTCCACGTTACGTCATGCACGCTTAGCTATTGCTTCAAGCTTATGTCAGTCACGCGCTATATTGCCTTCACGTTACATCAGGCACGCCTAGCTATTTCTTCCATGTTACGTAAGGGCACGCTTAGCTATTGCTTTCACATCATGTCAGGCACACCCTGCTATAGCTTTCACGTTATTTCATGGACGCCCTGCTATTGGTTTTACGTTACGTCAGGAAAGCCCTGATATTGCTTCTATGTTACGTCAGGCACGCCCAGCTATTGCTTTCACGTTACGTCAGGCACACCCTGCTATTGCTTCCACGTTACGTCATGCACGCCTAGCTATTGCTTCCACGTTACGTCAGGCAGGCATAGCGAATGCTTCTGTTACGTTGCTTCCACGTTACGTCAGGGCAGCTATTGCTTTCACGTTACAAGCACACCCTGCTATTGCTTCCACATTACGTCTATTGCTTCCAAGGCACTCTTAGCTATTGCTTCCACGTTATGTCAGGCACGCTTTGCTTTTTCCTTCAATGTTATATCAGGCACACCACTGCGCTTTCACGTTACGTCAAGCACACCCTGCTATTGCTTCCACATTACCTCAGACACGCTTAGCTATTGCTTCCAAGTTACAGGCACGCTATTGCGTCGGGCACGCTTTTGCTTTTCCTTCCATGTTACATCAGGCACACCACTGCTATTGCTTTCACGTTACGGCAGGCACACCCTGCTATTGCTTCCACGTTACGTCATGCACGCCTAGCTATTGCTTCCACGTTACGTCAGGCAAGCCCTGATATTGCTTCTACGTTACGTCAGGCAGGCATAGCGAATGCTTCCATGTTACGTCGGGCACTCTTAGCTATTGCTTCCACGTTATGTCAGGCACGCTTTGCTTTTCCTTCAATGTTACATCAGGCACACCACTGCTATTGCTTTCACGTTACGTCAAGCACACCCTGCTATTGCTTCCACATTACTTCATACACGCTTAGCTATTGCTTCCAAGTTACGTCAGGCATGCTTAGCTATTGCTTCCACGTTACGTCAGGCTCACCTTGCTACTGCTTCCACGTTACGTCAGGCACGTTAGCTATTGGTTCAACCTTATGTCAGGCACACCCTGTATTGCCTTCACGTTACGTCAGGCACGCCCTGCTATTGCTTCCACGTTACGTCAGGCAAGCCTAGCTATTGGTTGCACGTTGCGTCAGGCAAGCCCTGCTATTGCTTCTACGTTACGTCAGGCACGCCCTGATATTGCTTTCACGTTACGTCAGGCACGCTTAGGTATTGCTTCCACGTTATTTCAGGCACGCCCTGCCATTGCTTCCACGTTACGTCAGGCACGCTTAGCTATTGCTTCCACGTTATGTTATGCATGCCCAGCTATTGCTTCCACGTTACTTCAAGCACGCTTAGCTAAGCGTACAAAAAGAGCAGTTTCAATATTAATATTAAACAGACAGTAGCGACGAGTCTTTTTGACAACATGAAATGTCACAGGGCCTTACGACCTACTCAGACATACTGAAAGATGCTGGTGACACCTAACACGACTACCCTTGAGGGTTGTTGTTGGACTCACCTGGAGCAAACGTAGGCATGGCGAGGGGTGCGCTATGTGCTACAGCGCCCGCGACCAGGTGTGGGAACTTGAGCCTCATCCATGTTGACAATAGTCCTTCAACAAATCAGGAAGTTATCACTTCTACTTATGTTTCATGTTCCAGATTAGCAGTGTCTAATCTAAAGTTATAATGCCACAAATTTCAAGACATAGTGGACTTGTATCGTCACATTATTGTCCTCCTGAGAAGGTAGATAAGTCCCAACACTTTCAAAGTACATGAAAACTTACCAGATTCTTAAACGTTGCGTTTTTGTGATTTTAAATTATGGCTTTACTTTCCTACAATCGCCTTTGATGATTGTTTATTTAACAACTTGTCTTTATTGTGTATGCAAAACCTCTTGTCACTATATGGCTGAAATGATGCCGAGGTGACGTTTAATTTGAACTCATTCACTCACTCACGTAGTGGACTTATCTCTTGAATGTTCAGACACATGCTAAACTTTCGCTGTTCAGACAGGCTGTGATTGATAAATGTGTATCGAGATCCACGAAATCGGGGTACGATGGAATGAATCAACCAAGTCAGCGAGCCAAACCCGTTGGTCGTCTCTTACGGCACGCACGGAGTGCATGTATCCGGACCAGATCTTCCCGGGGAATGTATTTTCAGATTATATGGACGATCTCGATTATACAATAAGCTTATTTATATCGTACAAGCTTAAACACAGCTAATGGATATAACGAACTATATTTTTATCACGGCTTCGTGGTGTCTAATTTAGTTCAAATGCCTTTTACGAACTATTGTTATAGCGAAGTAGAGTTAGTGGGTCCTTTAGCTGTGGATACATTGCATCTGCATTACCTCCATACGATGCCCCAAATGTGATCCATTTGATGTCTTTGAAATTATGTTCCTTGTTGTTTGCTACGATGAAACTGGCAAGATCCTCTAACACTTGTTCAACGGTCAGGTATCGCAGGTTAGCCGTGCTCACATCACTGATTTTGAAACGTTGAAAAAAATACTTCAATATCATATGTTTTTCATTTATTTTCATTTCAGTTCTTTTCATTTATGTAAATCCGCGAAGCATATATGCACATATAGCTTTTGGTTAATAATGTCATCGCAAAAAAAACTACTCCTTACATATACTACCCATCAAAAGTTTAGACTCACTTAAAGCACACACTGTATGTTATGAATATATATATGGTTACATCGAAGATGAATTTCTCCACTGACTTGGGGGAAGCAACTGCAAACCTTATGCAGATGAATTGCACGAGGATCATGCATGAAATTGCTGAAAAGCATGACTGTGCAAATATCGTGTATGTGAACAGCTGTGTTTTGGTGTAAGGCTTTGTTAAGAATTCGCCAATTTTCACTGAGTTTCATCATTTATCGACCTCATGACAAAAATCTTTTCAACGCTACGAATTTGTTTCATAATACATCAGTTCATGTGTAAACCGTACCTTTAAACAGTATGGAATATTTCGCCAAATCTAGTTTGCTCTCCGCCATCATGAAACAGTAGTCCATATTTAGGCAATTTTGCGGATTAAATATGTCAAAACAATGTCTTACATTGCCATTCTTACATCTATCTGGTTTTAGAGTGTCAACAAAAGTGCTAACGTCTTATCTAAATTGCATTATCATTGTCGCCTTAATAATCAAAACATCTGGTGAATCGCGTAGATTCACACAAGCATGGGTAATAATCAATAAAAAGAATCACTTCACAAATGACAGTTTGTTTAGTATTGATGCCAATGTGATCATGAGAATAGACATAATAAGAGCCGACTCTTCGAAAAAATGCGATTTTACGCAAACGCATTTTTTCCGATACAATTTACTTTTCAATTACTCGTTTCGAAATGTATCTGACTCATTTATCGATCACTTTGAGACAACTCGTTGTAGTGAGTGTGAGTGAGTGTAGTTTTGCGTCGCTTTCAGCAATATCACGGCGGGGAACACTCATAATGGGCTTTACACATCGTACCCAAGTGGAGGATCGAACCCGGGCCTTCGTCATGTTTCAAGAGAGCTGTCATCACTCCAATCTTGAAAAACAAACTTGGATCCAACAGTGTTGATGAACTTCCGCCCTGTATCAAATCTTCACTTCCTATCGAAAATCTTGGAGAAAGTTGTGCTGAAGCAACTCAACGCCCACCTGTTTAGCTGTAGTCTACATGAAGCGTTCCAGTCTGCATACAAGGCGAAGCACAGCACCGAGACTGCTCTCGTGCGAGTGCAGAATGACATCCTTCGCAGCATTGACAAACAGGAAGTGGTGTTGCTGGTTCTACTCGACTTGGCAGCAGCATTTGACACGGTGGACCACGAAACGCTGCTTTCAAGACTACAGCACACCTTCGGTATTCGCGCAACTGCTTGCGGGGGGTTCAGATCTTACCTGTCAGGTCGAGTAATGCAGGTAAAAGTGGCTGAGGCCTACTCGAAGACACACCCTCTCAAATTTGGCGTGCCCCAGGGATCAGTGCTTGGACCAGTGCTCTTCTCTGTCTACATCTCCCCACTAGGGAACGTCATCAGAAAACACGGCCTGCAGTTTCATGGATACGCTGATGATAACCAGTGGTACATCAGTGTGAAACCAACCGCAGTTGCAAGATCCCAGGACAAGATGACTAGATTTTTTCAGGACATTCGCAAATGGATGTCTAGCAACTTCTTAAAGTTGACAAGACCGAGTACATGGTCATCGCTACAAACAGCAACTGAACAAGGTCCCAAATTGTCCCCTTGTAGTTGGAGATGCTCTGGTTGATCCAAGTGAAAGAGTCAAGAACCTAGGAGTGATGTTCACGAACACCATGTCATCTAACCAGCAAGTGCTGAACACCTGTAGAGCCGCTAACATCCATCTACGCAACATCGGCAAGATACGGAGATTCCTAGACGCCGAGACAACTAAGCTCCTAGTCCACTCCTACGTTGCCTCGAGCCTTGATTATTGCAATTCCCTCATCAACGGATCTGGCAATATTCATAGTCTCCAAATAGTTCAGAACGGTGCAGCCAGAATCATCACCCGTACTTCAGCAACTGCACTGGTTACCAATCCAACAAAGGATAAGATTCAATATTCTCTTACTAACACACATATCTTTATATGAGGATGACTTTCCCATCTACATGAAAGAACTCAGATCTGAAAGAAGTCGTTTGTTGCGTATTCCTGTGACCAAAACCAGCATGGGCAGCGACACCTTCTCAGTGACAGACCCAGTTCTTTGGAACTCTATTCCCCTCAAACTTCGTTGCATCGACAACGTCTCATCCTTCCGAACTCACTTAAAAACCTTCCTTTTCTCTGGAGTCTCTCTACCCTAGATTTGTTTAGCGCCGATGAACAGCTGTAAGCTGGAAAGCAGGCGCGTTATAAATGCATTTATTATTATTATGTTTTACAGATTAAAGATAATATGCAGCAGAGAGGGTTCGGGTGATCCTGGCACAGTCAGGCTGGTAAGGCTCATCATCAGCTCAGGGCCCTTGCCCCCTCTACACGCAGCCCAGACAGCGAATGGGACTTCTCCCAGGAAACGCTGCCTAGTCGAATTATTATTATTATTATGTTTTAAAGATTAAAGATTGTATGCAGCAGAGAGGGTTCGGGATCCTGGCATCCTGGCTGGTAAGGCTCATCATCAGCTGGGCCCTTGCCTAGTCGAAGGAAACGCTGCCTAGTCAGACCCACCAAGAACTTTCCGAGAATATGAAGGCTCCCCAACACTGCAGCCTTCTGCATTACCCAGAGTGTCAGAAGGGCTGTACTCCCGGTGGAGAACCCGGGCACTCTCCTGATCTGCGCCAAGAGATCAGGAGGTACCAAACCAAGGGCACCGAGAACAATGGGGAGCCTGACGACAGTGTACTTGGGATGCAAGCGAGACATTTCAAAGGCGAGGTCTGCATATTTATCATGCTTTTCCTTAATCTTGCCAATCACATTGGTGTCAAAAGGGACAGAAAATTCAATGATATAAATAAATTCATTGGCTTTATCAAAAAGGACAAGATCAGGTTTGTTGGCTGGAATTCTTCTGAGGCTGTATATGGGCCTATTCCACAGAAGTTTGAAAGCATCATTTTCCATGACGCCCTGGACATGTTCAGGGTCGTACCATGGATGGACCTCGGAGTCAAAGCCACAGGCATGTCGGAGACGGTAGTAAAAGCAACGAGCCATGCCATCATGTCGTTTAAGATATGCTGTTTGTGCCAAGGAAGGGCATCCACTGACAAGGTGTTGGACAGTCTCTGTAAATTCATTGCAAAGTCGACATTTCATGTTAATATTCTCTTTAAGAATCACATTTAGGCGATTACGAGTGGGAAGTGACTGGTCCTGAGCAGCAAAAAGGAAGCCCTCAGTTTCACATTTAAGACCAGCCGACTTCATCCAGGCAAAGGAGTCGGTGGGATTGCTATTCTGTTCAACACACTGCATGTACACACGATGCAATGGCTTCTCAGAAAGCTTCTCCACAAAAGACCGACTCTGGGCAGACTTGGTGAAGGACTTCACCTGGTTTACTCCCATCACTGTACCGTCCAGCAGTACATCGCCATTAACAAAGTCAACCTCAAATTTCAGATTCTGTCCAACAACCTTGGCACGCTTAAAATAGCTGTGGAATTCCTTGCTTTCATCATGAGTCTTCACATGCATCACCAGAGGATCATCTGATAAATAAATATGTGCAAAAGTACACAATAAAATTCTATCATGAAGAGCCTCCACATTAATCAAACCCCAACCTCCAGAATTGATTGGCATGTATAAACGGTTAAGAGAGGAACGAGGGTGGTGGGCTCTGTTATCAGACATGATCCTTCTGGTCAGACGGTCAAGACTCTGGATGTCTTGTTTCGTCCAATCAACTACTCCAAAGGAATAGGAAAGGACTGGCACAGCAAAAGTATTGGTGGCTTTGACCTTGTTTCGAGCATTTAGCTCTGAGCTCCAGATTTTCTTTAAACGAGATTTATACTCGGCCCGAAGTTTGTCTTGAATCTGGGCATCCTGGAGCTTGTCTCGAACTTG